AGCAGGTCTCTGCCACAGTTCATATGCCAGAGCTGCATTTTTTGTCCTGCACAAACTGAAATTGTATCTGAGACATTTAATACATGTGCATTTGCAGAGGGGCTGCTGCCATGACACTGCCAACAGTTCCATGATGTCAATTAACGTCAGCCGGGTAATGTTGGAATTGCCAAAGCCCACTCTCACTTGTGACCTTGTTCACTAAAAAGAGATAAGGGTACTAAAATAGAAATGCAGATATCAGTGAGAAAGTAAATGAAAAGGCAGAAATAAAAAAGCATAGATGGGAGATGAACAAATGTTAGGGAAACAACTGAGGCAGTGAGAACGGGGGAGGGAAGGGTGCAGTGCCAAACTGGGGCTTTGCTGAGCAGAAATGATACTGTAGAGGTGTAAATATTTTATTCTGTTCAAGTCACTGTTCTTAAATGTTGCCAATTCTGAGATTTTCCCCTGAAATAGTTGAGGCAGATCATTCCTTAAGGATGTTACCGTTTCTGTCTTGCTGGATGAAGCCTAAAGGTGCAATTACAAGATCTGGTCACACTCTCTTTCATAAATGTAGGTCAGTAGTTTGCTACCTCACACCTGCTTTGTCTCCAGTATAGTTTTTTATGGAATTTGATGTGATATCACAGATTTTGGTTTCATATTTTCTATTTCAGTTTATCAATACCTTCCTCACTGGCATATGATAAACCTTAACTGCTATTTGGAAAAGCAGTTGTTATTTTTTTCTGAAGCTCCTGTAGTAAGCAATATTATTATTCTGTGTGAAAGGTGTGCATGCATTTGTACTCTGTATATACACACTCTACCACATGGGCTAAGATAACTCTGTCTGGGAGTCTGCAAGCAAGGAGCCCAGAAATTAATCCAGTCAAAACAAAATTAATTATAAAAGACTAGAAATGCCACCCCAAGCCTTGAGTGTTTTAATGAGATGACTGTTTCTTACCAGCATTAAATCTGTGGGGATAAGGAAATGTTCACTGAGTTAAGATGTGCTAAGAAAAGTGTAAAGAAGAGCATAAATGGCTCAGGAATTTCAGGAATCCCACTGGCTTAAACACTCTTTTATTTAAAGCAAATGTTCTCATAGTTGAATGACTTCCAAGAAGGGCCTCAAGTGATGAAAGTATTTCCATCTAATGTGAAAATACTTGAAAGATGCTTATTCCATGTGAAAATATTGCCACCTTTCAGAAAAGCCTGAATATGAGACTCCTTTAATGAAGATACTCTCAGACAAGTTATTGATTTTCAGAACATGCAAAATATCCAGAATTCCTACTATTTTGATAATAAATAGATTTTAATGACTTTCATCTCCTATAGCAGCCAGGGAAAATATTTCAGAGTATTTCATAAAACAGATACTTCAGTAACAGAGTGAAAAATTTTACATTCATCATCCTGACATTGCTCCCTTTTCCCTCAGGGCATGACTGACCTGGAAAGTACCACTGAGCATCTGCAGGGAAAAGCAATGGGGAAACAAAACCTGTAGAGACAAGAAAGGCACAAACAACTCCAGTCCAGAGCAGTGGCTTTTTCATTCCTATTTTATGATTTTTAGATGTTCACTTGTGCTGAATAACCTCCATTTAATAACTTGTAAATTGGCCACATTTGGAGAATAAACAGATAGACACTGCTTTCTTCATGAAAGCAGAATAACTTCCAACACACAGCTTGACTCAAAAGGGGCAGGGAGGTGCCAGGGATTGTGACAGGGTGTGAAGGGATGTGTGGCCCAGCAGGTATCAGAGGAGTTTGTATTGTGCAATAATTCATTGCACATATATTGGGAATTGTTTCTGGTTTCTGCATCTACAACTTCAGATGTGCCTCAGTGCTACAGAACACCATGGGGATTACTGGATGCTCCTAAAGCTTTTGCAAGATGCTCAGGAAGTGCAGACTTCCAGAAATCAAATCAACCGAGATAGTAAATTTTATTGGAAAGGGGAGGTAGATTTTCTATCTTGTTTTCTAAAGGCAAGAAATGTGCAAGTACATGACTAACCACCAAGGGTCAGTGTTCAGTGTTTTTACATTCTGACATCTTTGTTCCCAGGAGCTTGGAAAATCCCTTTTAGATGCAGTACTGTAATTAGGATTTTCCAACAGTATTTTTAAACTACCAGTGAGATGCATACGTGCCATACAAAGTATGGGAAAATTCAAGTGTCTGGATATGGGGCTTTTGTCAGCCAGCTACCAAGTTATGTCTGAACTGAGTATTGTTCATATTCCTGGATATGATACAATTCCCATTGAAAATAATAAAAAAACACCCTAGGAACAGGATTTTATTTTTATGAATAGCAATTATTTTATTGTAGCAAATGCCATTCTTCTGTTCTGTTAAGAAAGTTAAGACAGCCCTCACTGAGAGATTGTCAGGTGCTTTGTCAAGATGGCAAGGGATGCACTGTCAAGAGGAGTGAACACATTTTAAATAAGTTCCTGTGGAGAGAAGTAATTTAACCCGACTTTAAAATGTAGTAAGGGTGGTGGATATCAGACATCAGGAGACTGAGCTGCAGCCTGGCTGGCCTCCCCCGTTTCTGGGATGTTAATATAGGTCATAATCCTTGATTGGCACAAACCCAGAATATATTGACAGACATTCATATAAACTGCAGCTCATGAAGAAATCTCCAACCAGGCTTACAAAATAAACCCAGCCCACCTTACTCCACATAAGGCACAGAGATCCCTTTGTTCCCCTTCTGCCCCACGGCTGAGCTCCAGGCACAGCTGCCCAGGGCTGGGGAGCTTCCGATGTGCCCCCGCTTAGCTGTGACTCACCAGGTGTAAAAACTGGGCAGATTTCTGTGTGGAGCTGATTTGATTTCTCTGTAGGCACAGCCAAGCCCCGGCAGTGCTGACACTGCTGTGTCTGGGTGAGCTCTCAGCCACCTGGAGCCTGTCTGACCTGGATGCAGCAGCCGGGAGCACAGGGGTGAGCGGATCCCTGCTGACACAATCCCAGATTACCCGACCTGCACAGCCTGCCTTGTCTGTTCACGCATCTCAGCCGCACTCCTGGCCCTGCCCAGCCTGGAGCACCCTTCCAGCACTGCCATCCCTCAGGAATTATCATTTCTGGATGCTGCTGAATGAGAATAAATCCTCGGGAAAGGACATAAAATGATGGAAACTACAAAGTAAAGAGGGATAAAATAAAAAAAAACCAAAACAGTAGAAATTTTAAAAGAGCAAAAATACTAAAAAAACTAAAATGAGCATGCTAAACAGTACAAATCCTAGCACAGAACTCTGGGGGATTTTACTGTAAAAACCTTTTATTTCTTATTCTATTTTTAATAAGGATTTATGTTAATCTTCCATGGCAACCAAATCTCTTTAAGAGCCTTTGGTGAAGGAAACAGTAATAGGGATTCCAGAAATCCAAGTCCACTCTCGAGTCTTTATCAGTTCTGGAGAGCACTAGGAGGGGAAATAGTTATGTAAATACCATCATGTCATCACCACAATTTTAACCTCTGTGAGACAAAGTAGAATCAGTAATAGAAAATTAAAGTATGTATCTTGAAGAACAGGCAAAAACCAGCAGATGCTGCCTGTAGCAGCTATTATTCAAGTTGTTTAGTCCACTCTTAGGCTGACCTGAACACTGATGTGTTTAATGCCGTCCTGTATGCTTCTGTAACAACAGGCAATATGGAAATGGTCACAAAATTAAATCAGCTAAGAAAAAAAAAATTGTTCAAATTAGTAAAAAATGGCTGGTGGAAGGAAAATTTAAGTAAATTCTTCTGGTGAAACAGGAAAGAGATAGAATAAATACATCTCCTTAGTGTAAGGTGCTGAGACTTTTCTCTGGAATGCCTGAGGCAGAGTGCTATAGCAGACAGGAAGGATCCTGGCTCAGGCATCCATAAGTTCTGATCAAATAAGGCTAACCTCTTCCTATCAAACAAATACAGTATTTTTTGGAACAAAACAAAGATCAAACAGAAAAAGTACTCGTACATTTTAGCTATCGTGTAGTGAACTAAGCAAGATGAAAAGCAGGACGTGGTGGGGTTTGATGTGCTGTGAGGGCTGGGGCAGAGCCTTGGCTGTGAGCCCTGGGCTCTGCCGGGGCAGGAAGGAGCTGCTCTGGAGGAACAGCTCACACCTCGCTGGAGGTCAAGGCACTGGAGACTGCTGGGCTTTGGGCAGGAACAACTCTGAGCCTGAAAAGAAGAAATGATAATATGAATGAAGACTAGGTAAAACTGCCCCGACCCTTCTCAATCCATCCTTTTGGAAGGGGGCACATTTCCCACCTCTAGAAGAGTTAAAGCAGCTGTTCCTCACACCCGTGCTTAGAGTGCTCTTAATCCTTCACCTCCCCAGATAATTGAGTTGGTATTTTCACATCATTTAACCTTTTTTGTTTTAATTTAACTATTTTTTAAGCAATTCTTTACCCTGCTCTGAAAGCAGTGCCTGTGGCAGGTACAGGTACACTGACCTACCTACACCTTAAGCACAGGTAATTCTGCACCACGCCAACAGCTCTTCACCCGTGACCTCCCCGGCCCGTCCGTGCCCGCGGCTGCGCTGACAGCCGGGGCGGGCTATGAAGCGGCGGCACCGCCATGTTGGGACGGAGCGGCGCCTCTCGGGCCGTGCGGGGGGAACGCGGGGCCACTCTCAGCCCAGAAGGTCACTCCGGGCGGGTGACACGATCGCGTTTGGCCCACGCGTCAGCCCGGGGCGGGTGACACGATCCCGACTCGCCCCCTCACGGAGGCGGCGCGGCCGTGAGGGCAACCCCCGCCTCCAACGGGTCCCACCGTGATTGGCGCGAGCGCACCCCTTCTCCGCTCTGATTGGTCAGAGGTGCTGTCACTTCCGGCCTCTGAGGGCAGGGGCGGGCGCTGAGTGGTCGGCGCTGGCGGAGGCCCCGCCCCCTCGGGGACGCGCGGGCGGAGCGGAGCCGCGGCCGGAGCCGCCGGAGCGGGGGCGGCCTGAGGGCGGGGGGGACGCGGCAGCCACCGCCGCTATGGAGGCGAAACCGGCGGACCCGCTGCTCTGCGACAGCCTCATCCTCTGGGTGAGTGGCGCGGGGGTTCTGCCGCCTCTGGGGACCCACGAGGGCAGCGAGGAGGCGCCAGCGGCGGGGGTTTTTCCCTCCATCCATCCCCCCGTCCCTCCGGCCACCCCTCCCTCGGTCCCCGCCCGCGGAGCAGGAGCTGCGGGTGGGTCGGGCACGGCCGCGGCAGCGGGGCTGCCTGGGACGCGCTGCTCACAGCCAGCAAATGTTCCCGCGGCACCCTCGAGGTGTGGATGTGGCGGTCGGAATATCCCGTGGGCCCAAGTGCGGCTCTCCAGCGGTGGCTTCAGTGTGGAAACTGCTCGGCAATTAACACTATTAATAAATAAATGGAATTAATTTGAATTGACAGGCGTAGAAACCTCAGAGTATTTTCATACCGGCTGGTTAAAGCGTTTATTAGTCAGGCACGCCACACCTGGGTGTGTGATGTTACCTGTGCCAGAGGCACCTGTTTGGAACTGCGGAATTATTTAGGTCGGAAAAGACTTTTAGGTCACCGAGTACAAACATATTTGTTAAATTCCCCAATTACTCTTACTTCCTCTTTATCTTTCTCTCCAAGCTTCTTCTGTGACCTTCTCTGTAACTCTGGTTTTGCAGGTGCAGTAATTTCGGTGACAGGGAGCTCTATGAAATAGAACTTCAGCATGAAATCTTGCCAGGGAAGGTCACAGTTACCTGTGTGAAGGGTTTCTCTAGAAATAGCAGGAGTTTTGCCTCTGAAGTGTAAATCATGGAGAGAAGGGAGTGTTTTAGAGGCATTGTAGAAATCCAGGAATGAAACTGGTAAAAGTAACAGGAGCAGCAGCCTGAGTAAGTGTTCTTGATTTCTGCATGGCAGTACAGAAGTGTTGATGAGTTCAAGTTTGTAATAAATCACTGATAAACAATTTCTTCCTTTTCTTTTTCCTCCTTCCATTTTCCTTTTAGTGACACTGTATTCTTCCAAGGTCTTGTTGCTCTCTAGAATTTTGGTGGCCTTATGTTGGATATCTTTTGTTATTTAATCTTTCTCTTTTTTGGGGCTCTTTAACTTTGTATTTTCCCCTCAGTAGTCAGGTGAGAATACCTCCATCGTGATTCAATGGCAAAAAAAAAATCACTGCAATCCTGAACTCTTTCACAAAAATCCTGTTAGCAGTGCTGAATTCTTTTATTTTTCACAATTCCTGCTTTAAATATTTCTATCCTAATTGTCATTTTTGGGATGCTCACAGCTGTAATCGCGTCATGAATCTTAATGGAACCTTAACTGGCCTTAAAGTGAGCAATTGTGTCAGTGTAAGGGAAGACCCAACCCTGTGTTCGGGTTTTCTGTACAGCACTCAGAAGCTGCATGTTTTTAGATTTAGCACCCTATTTCTCAGGCCTAGTTTGCAACTTAGAAACTGATTCTTAACACTTGGATGTGTTTGAAACATCCTTTCACAATTTGAACTTCAGTGTGAATAATAGGGAGAAAAGTGATGTGAGGAGAGGGGGATGGAGTGCTCTGTGTTTGGAGAGAAAAAGGTTCTGTAACTCTCTGCTTCTAATGGTTTCTCAGTTTATTTACTCATTAATATAGCAAACAGATGCTTATGATTCTCTGCATTTTGCTGCCAGATCTGGCATTTTCCTAATTTTATTTTACCAAATGCGATATTAGAAAACATGTTGGGTCCAGAGAAGAAAGAGAGGATTCAAATAAAAATGTTTCCTGTTGTTTCTCTAGCCCAGGTGTCACTGAATTTTACGTTCTGAGGATTTTACAGGAAAAACATAAAGCAGCTAAACTGAATTATAGGGGTAATGTTTATGAGTATCCATGAAAAATTGACTTAGGTAATACCTGCTATGGTGGAACTCACAAGCTGCAGCAGAAACAATTTTCTAAGTTAGTTATTTTTTCTCTGTGTAGAGGAAAAGTTAATTGGATGTTTTTCAGTGCTGTACTGCCTTAGCCCCCAAAGCAGGGTCTGGAGGTATGGCTACATCTTAAATTGGAAGCATTTTCCACTGTAAGTGCACTGCTTGGCCCTGGCACCACTGGTAGTGTTCATTCTGTCCAGTGACTGACTTATTCTATTAATATACTTGGTTTCAGCATGGGAATGTTTATTTTTATTTTAAAATCTCTTTGATTACTCTGTAAAACCTCTGTGCCTTGTGTGTATAATCTGGGTGTGAAATGGAGTAACTCATTGTTGGGGAAGCTGAGGGCACACCTTCCCAGGTGGATGGGCTGATTTCTGCTGGGCACTCTTTATTTACACTCATGTTTCATCTGCAAATGTTTGGTGGTAGAGCTACAAAATTAACTTTTCAGATGTATATTGGGAGCATTACAGCTCTGTGTCTGAGAGAAGAACTTAGAGCAGCAAGTGGCAGAGTGCATTTGGGGTGGGATTCACAAAAAGGTTTTCAGTGTGAGTAGCAGCCTATCCTTGCAGTTATATTTAGTAAAACTGAAAAAAATGAGGGAAGAAAGAGCATTGCTGCAGTCCTGAAGTCTGTGGCTTCTTTTTCCAGCCTCCTCCCCACGCCTGCCACTTATATTAGTTTTGCAAGAGCAGTAAAAATCCATTTTGATGAAATGATGGGGCTGGCATGAGGTTTGGAGAACCCATAATTAATATTTCTACTCTCTTATTATTTCTAGGTCCTCATGCAACTTTTAAATACATAGAGAAACCTAGACTGTCAGTTCTGCTTTTTACTTAATTTTAATTAGCTGTTTCTATTCTGGGAGATCATGCATAAAGCAGTGTTGCATCTCAGGGTTTTCTAAGGCCTTGTTTGTCTGCCCTAACAGGCTCAGGTGAAAGGGTTGCACCTGTGCAGGGCAATTTCCTTGCTTTATGAGGGCCATGTGCAGGTGGCAGCACCACAACATTGTGCCATAAAACTCTGGATTTGGGAAGCCCAGCCTGGAGTGTAAACTTGCGTGCCTGTGCTTGTGCTGAGGCTGCTGGAGTAGTAGAAGCCAGTGCTGTCAGGCATGGCAGCTTTGGGCTGTGCTGTTCCACTTAATCTTTTATGTAACCTACGAGGGATTACTGACTTCTCACTTCCTGTAAGACAGGATTTAAACCCACTTTTTAAATTAAAAAAAATCCCCTTGCTCTGCCTATTTTTCTCTTGGCTTGATTTGATTCTTCTTGAAGGAAGAAAACAAGTATTCAGAATTATGGTCACTCTTTATAAACACAGAGTGGACAAAAACTGTCTCAGATTCTCCCAGCTGAAATCTGCTTTTTCATCACTCTGGTCCCAGCAGCTCCATTTCCCAAACACAAGGTCATTTTTACCAGGAGTTCTGAAGAAGCTTGTGCTGCACAGGATGTTTGGGAAAGCCCTCTTGCAGAGGGACAGGTAATTTAGGACATTGTAAGTGCAAAGAGTTTAAGAAGTCAGTTTCTGCAGTGGACAGGGTTTATAAGGATTCATACTTGCTCCCATTTATTCTGTCTTTTAGTAGTACTAATAATAAACTTTCTGTTTTGTTTATTGTGGTAAAGAAGGCTCTTATTTTCCTGAGTAACTGTGATGAACTCACCTGTGTATGGAAATGGCTCTCTCATCTAGAATAATTAGTTCTGAGTTGATTGTCTTTGGAAGATTAAAATATTACAATTCTAAATATGCAGCTAATTCTGTCAAAATGTTGTCTATAAGCTTGGGGATAGTTTGAAAAACATCCCACAATATTTAAAACAGAGAAACATTTTAACATTGAGGTAATCCCATCCTATTTCTAAGTTCTTGTAGTAAAAGACTGGAATTTTTTTCCCCTATTAACTTTCTGATAACCTTATTGTGATGATTTTTTTTGTTTAGGTAGTTATGTCCACAACTGAGCATTACAACATAACTCAAAGGCTGGATAAATATGACTTTAGTCTCCCAAGTTATCTTTACATAATCTGCTTGGCAAGAGAAGGCCTAGGATGAAAAAACAGAGTGTGGGTGTTCCTACCAACTTTTTAAGCCACCAGTCATAACAGTCACAACTTGAGAAAATTGGGTTGGCTTCAAGTCTGTGTGGTTCAAAAAGGATTTCAAGCAAGACATCTTGCTACATGGTTGTGCTTGAAAGGGGAGAAGGAAGATAGCAGCTAATTTATTGTTTGCTGAACTAAACCCCAATGTTTTTCCCTGTTTTAGCTCCAGACATTCAATACAGCTGCACCCTGCAGGGATGTCCAGGACTTGACTAACGGGGTTGCCATGGCTCAGGTGCTTCACCAAATGTAAGTTGATTCTTCAGCTGGAGGAAGAGGGATTCAATTGCCTGAGGTTTTTGTGTTTGACAGACACAGTTGCTTTTAAAGTAGGCAGAAATTCAGAGTGGACAGTTTAAATCAGAAGATAGGTTATGCCTTTGTATTGCTGTTGGGGGATGATATAATGGCTGATTCATGACATGGTGGAAAAGGTGGTGAAAGATGTACAAATACTGCAGTATTAAATTCATTCTTGGGGATAACTGGGCAAGGATGACATTATCTTCTTCACTTTTCCCATCAGCACTATTTCCATGCTTCAGGCAATGTATTCCCTTTTGGAATGAGAAACTAAAGATTCAAAGGCATGGCTTTGTGTTCTTTTCTTCCTGAGGTTGCTCAATTTATTTAGATTTAAGTTCTAGATTTTAAATGACAACTTACTATTCGTGTGGAAGACAAGAACTGTAAAACTTCAATTGCAATTAATAGGAATTATTTTGCTTTTGAATAGCTGTTTTATTGATGTGATGAAGATTGGTAGTCTGAGTGATACACTAGTTTTGAAATTTGCATAGAGGGTTGTAATGCAAGTCTTGTTTTGAAATAGTATCATACAACAAGTCATCACTGCAATTTTATTGTTATTGTTGGCCCAGGTAATTGAAGAGAAGTCTGCATTACCACCTCAGGTTCAAAGTATCATTTTGTAATTACTAAGAAATTACTTCAACACCATCACAATCCACCCCCCCCCACCCCTCACCCCCAAAAAAATGAGCTCAGAAACCCTCCTGTCTGTCTGTAAAGATTTTAAATGTACTTTTTGAAGACAGCTCACCCTTTTTCTGGACATGGCAAAAATTGATTTAGGGTTTGCTGAGGGGTTGCTTCCTATGTGTTTGGGGTATTAGGCAGCCACATGCTTTGGGCAAACTTGCTATCACCAAGCTGGTTCTTGTGCAAGTGGGGATAATGATTGTCCTTTATTAGGTGCTTTGAGACCAGTGAATAAACAGTGCACTGTCAAAGTTAAATATTGTTAAATATGCTGTGATTGTGCTGCTTGGCAGCTGAGCGTGTGTAACCCCTCCCTCAGCAATTTATCCTTGTTTATGCTGGCAAACTGAATCCCCTTCTGCCCAGGGGAACCAGAGACATACAAAATATACAAAATGCCAGTAGTTTAAAGGGTTTCCTTAACACGTGCCTTTGACAAATTGGAGTGAACATTAGTTAATCCAGGCTACAGAAATAGGTACCAAACATAATGTCAGCACTAATCAAAAAAAAGCTCATTATGGTTACTTTATCAGGTATAAAAATTCAGCATGACAAAGGCCTCCACATCCCTGTGCTCCATCCATAGCTGGCTCAGGCACACAGAGAAATCCTCCCAGCCCTGGAATGTGCCTTAATGCAGCCAGCAGCATGGAAATCTCCTGTGATATAAGTTTACATTGCAATTTCCAGGAATTCATGCCTTGTTAGACACTGGAGTTCAGCATCAGATGATTTAAGTGCTGGGAATTTGCTGTCTTATTTATTTTATTTAAGTCTGTGCTCATTGATTAATCATTTCATTTTATTTCAGAGATGTTGCCTGGTTTGATGCATCTTGGCTCAGTCGCATCAAAGAAGATGTTGGTGACAACTGGAGAATAAAGGTATTTAAAACTGAAGATAATGCAGTTTGTGGGGTTGGATGTTGTGCCTGTTCTGAGATCTGGCAGTCCAAAACCTAGAGAATTAAGCTCAAGCTTTTCAAGGATATTTTAAATGAGCTTGAATTGTCTGTTTAAGAGCCTTCCAGCATTGCTGGATGGGGATTTTCTGCTGTGATATTTCTCTTCCTATGTCCTTTCATAGCACTGCCTTGTAACCAATTTTATTAGAAATTATTATTTGATTTAATGAGAAGCAACATTTTAAATAAAATTATAACCTTGTCTTTCATGTACAACAACTAGTCCAGTAATTTGAAGAAGATACTGCAAGGAATTATGGACTACTATCATGAGGTATGGAAAAAACAATTTACTGTTGTTGTTCTCATCATTAAACACAATGATTATTGCTCCCCTTGACTTAGCCAAGTAGAAAAAAAGCTGTAATTTGTTCTGAGGACCTTTTAGGCAACAGATGTATGATAATTATCTATTAAGTGGGAGGTCTGAGTGAATATGAAATTAATTTGAGCAGGTGTGTTTTAGATGAGGCTCTTGGAGTATGAACTGGGAGCCATGTCTCTGCCCAGGTGGATGCTGAAAGGACTGAGCTGCAGAATCCTGTTGACTTTTGTGTGTGTGTTCATGTTTGCTCTTGTCTAGAGAAGTTTTAATCCTTTTGTACACAGCAGAACAGACTCAGCAACCCCAGTGTAGGTTTTATGATATTCAGTGGGAAGCTGGGAGCCAAGGTAGGAATCCTCCTGGACAGTATTAGTTTGTTCTGTCTTATGCAGGGATGAGTAGCCAGTAGCCATAAAAGGCTGCTGTATTTTAAGTTTAAAAAAATTGCTGAATTTTGTATTGATGTGATTACAGTTATGTAATGGGTATGGTTTAGAAAAACTTGCCAGATGTTGTTGTGGCTTCCTGGTCCTGCTGGGCTGAGCTGTGGCACCAAGAGCCAGGCCCTGATGTGCTGCCAGTTCTGAGGATCTCTGGCAGGCCCAGAAGCAGAACTTCTTTAAGGTTATGAGAAGCTTTTTGAAGGATTTGGAAGCAACTCCATCTGGAAGTGTTATTAATTCCTTTTTCTATTATGTTGGTGAAATATATGAATTCTCTCATATATGAGAACTATCCCCATAACTTTTACTATTGTCACTTTTTCTTGTAGAAGTGCTCAGAACTAAACCTGATAACAAACTTCTAGGGCATTTTCTCTGGCTAGCTCGTTGAGCCCAGATTTCCTACATGATACCAGATTTTCATGTTGTACAAAAGTGAGAGTCTACTTTTTCTTATAATATTAAATTTTTTTTTCAGTTCCTGGGTCAGCAGATTGCAGAAGAGCTTATTCCAGACTTGACCCGGATATCTGAGAATTCAGATCCCACTGAACTGGGCAGGCTCCTGCAGCTTATTTTGGGTTGTGCAGTCAACTGTGAGAAGAAACAAGGTGGGCACTACCTTAACCTGCTCAGCAAACAGCAGATTGCTTCAGGTGATAGTTAAGGTGGAAAAGATGTAGAAACTTCTCTTTCTTATCCATCAACATTGTTAATTTGCTGAATTGCTGATCTGAAGCTGGAGTTCACTTAAAAGCAGAAATTCCCTGGGAAATGTCTGTGAATAAAACTCAAAACTTTGTTCAGAGTAGGTTTAAAAATAGAGTCTGAAATGTGTATGGTTTATTCATATTGTTAAAATATGTACCAAGACCTATTCAAATGCAAATATAGCAAAATTAAATTAAGTCCTTAAATTAGAAACTGCTTCTCTGCCTGCAGAGGCTCAAGACTGAGTTGGTTGTTTTCTCTCTCGTTACCAGAACTAATCCTCCATGCTCTGTTGGCATCTCTCCTTAGGCAGAGTTTAGATTTGTCCAGTTAAGAGTTTATAATCTTTTGTGCTTATCTGCCATATTACTGGAAAATAATGATGGTGGTTAATGGTACTTCTCTGTATAAAGAGACCACTACTTGTTTTGAGGGAGCTTTATGGATTATAGATTTTTCTGGATCTTTCAGCAAACACAGTTTATCATTTTACTCAAACCATTGAGGTGACCATTGTCATGAGTCACTGCAAATCCTTTTTCACAGAGCACATACAGAATATCATGACCCTTGAGGAGTCTGTTCAGCACGTTGTCATGACAGCCATTCAAGAGGTAGGTAACAGTTCATATCCTGATCCTGTCAGTTGAATAGTCCAAAAACCTTTTTGTTGACCTTTTGAGAATTTTTTCATCCAAGCAAAGGTCAGGGAGGAGTATAAGTACTTTCTGAAATTATTTGGGAGGTTTGGGACCAAGAGACCTTAAATCCCAGCCAAAAGGTTTTGATTTTAGACTCATGGTGCCCAAACGTACAACAAATGCTTAAAGTTTTTTTGTTCCACACAAGAAATGTATACAGTTGCCAACCACTGATTATACTGAAGTTAGATTCTGAAATTGTCTCCAGTGCTGTAGTCTTGGTCCCAGAGTTAAGCTGATTGTGTTTGTGAGGTTGCATTGTTCTGACAGACCATTCCAGACTGTGACTTAGAAGCTTGCAGCTGCATCTCTTCTATTTCTGTCACGGTGTGCTCCTCCTCCTGTCTTAATTTGTTCTTGGTTGGATCATCTTAGTGATCCAGCTCACAGCTTAGCTCTGCAGTCACTGGCTTCTGAGAGCTTCAGGACTGTGAAGCAGAGTGTGGAGAGAGGCAAAAACTAAACTCTGATTGTGAAGAGAAGGTGGTGTGTAATTGCACCCTCATCAAGGTAACAGTGGAGTTGGTAATAAGCTTTATAACTTAGATTTAAATTGTCTGTATAGTCTTTAAAGTTGTACTTGTCCTGTTGGTAGAAATAAATCCATAAAGCTTGTGTTTGTTGTCTTCTGACTAAGTAAACTTTCTAGAAGAAGGTCTAGAAATAATTCAGTAATTTCTGAGAGGATTAAAGCCCTTTAATTGTTGGTAAATACACACTGTACATCTTTGTATCTGAGAAGTAACGTTCTCTTTGTTTGTTTAGTGGCAATTAATGGGACACAAAGAAATGTGAAAACTGTTAAATCAGTGGAGTGAAATCCTGTCTTCTGGTTCATTCCAGTTTGACTGACTAGGGGCTGGCAATACCTTCAACACATGACACATTCATCCAATACAATGTTACTGCAACCTTGATTAATTTTGAGAGGAGGGAGGTAAAAAAATCATCTTAGTGTAGATCTGTTAAAATCTTTTACCAGCCATGAGATGAGGAGGAGCATTATTAATCTGTTTTGGTATATTAAAGGGATGCAATAACAATGGAAAATACAGTTGGTACTCAGTAGACAGTGAACTCACAGATCTGCAACCTCTAATTTAACCTTTTTTCCTGTGGCCTCTCTCTGTAGCTCATGAGCAAGGAGGTAACAAGTGCTTCTCCATGTGATGCATCAAGTGAAGTGGAACTGCAGGTAATTGCCTGACCTGTGTTGCTATTGTAGATCAAGCCTGAACTGGAAGTTGGTATCTGGCCATCCCTTAAATGAAGAAATGCTGGTTTTCAGTGCTAATAAACTGAAAATTTCAGTGTTACTCTATAGCTTCTTTAAAAACCCACAGTGACTACATGGGGTGAAACTGGTCAGTGCAAACCTACATTGCAGGGAGGGGTAGGGGTGCACCATCAGCATTGTCAGGCTGAGTACTTCAGGTTATTTTAAAGGGGTTGTGTAAATTCCTGATAATCTGAACACTACAAGGTGTTGCACATAAAATGAACTTTTCTTTAAAGGCATATGAAAATGGTGGCAGCACGTTCCTGTGTTTTGTTATGCCTTTAGTCTAAGTTGTTGTGTTTCAGTAATTTAATTTCTAAGTGTGATAATCAGGCAGGTGAAATGAGCAGGGATTCTGATCTAGCAATGTGTGCACCCAACAGCCAACTTAAACAATGGGTGTAGGCAATTGAGGCATTTTAGAAGCTGTAACTGAGTACTTTGAATATGGGCCGTAGTGATTGACTGCCTTGTTTTTGAAAGCTTAAAAAAGCCTTGGAAGACCTTCAGGAAGCACGAGCAGAAAAAGAGGAATTGGCACAAAGATGTCAAGAGCTGGATTTGCAGGTAAGAAACAGTCAGTTGTTTGTTTCTTTAATATGTAGTGGTGCTGCTATTAAGATGCAGAAATTTTTAAGGGCAAAGTGCATTTTGCATTTAAATTTTTGTGAGAATTTGTAGCTGCTTGTGGGAGAAAAGAAATTATTCTGGGATCCAAAATGCAATTACTGGAAAGAGTTTTCTGATGGAAGTGTAAGCTGAGGCCCTGTGCCAGCTTATCTCAAAGGTTCTTTGTCTCAGGTTAATGTTTACCATTAGTAGCAGGTAGTATTAAACCAACCTTATCATGGTTTTAAAAATTGCCCTTTTCATTCTTATTCCTCTAGTCTTTTGTACTGTGTCCAAAAAATCCAGTTCATGTCCTAAACAGTAATTACATTTAATCATAGGAAAATCATGCTGTTTCAATAGGAGTTGATGAAGGACAAAAATTTGTAATTCATCTAAAACTTGCTAACTTTTTCTCATACACAATTGCAACATGGAGGAGATTTCAGGATAAAAATAATGAAAACTAATAGATCCTTGCTGACATTTTCAAACAACACTAATAATAGGCCTATTTTTGTTTTTAATGGATATAGCAGTTAATCAAGTCACTCTTGAGAGAAAGGAAAGAGGACTTCATGACAATAAAGAGAAATTTGCATTTCAATCAACACTTTAAAGAAAAAAATCACTTATTAGCCCATCTCTTATGGCACTATAATCTGAAAATAGAAAGAGTTTTATCTGGGAAGGCAATTCATGTCAGATTTGGCTCTGCACAAAGAGAACATTGGGGTGGCATCTTCTTGTAGGAGCCAGAGGGCTGTACTGGCTGTGAGAGCCTCTGGAAGTGAGCACCCACAAAAGCAGAGGCCACTTTTACATTTCTTGCTGACAAAGACAACTGTAAAAGCAGAATACTTGTGTCTAAAGCAGCTCAGAGCTCCTTGCCATGCCCAGGAAGCTACTGCTATAACTGAGTTGATATTTAATTTTCTTTTTTTCTTGAGGCAGTTGTAAGGCTTCCTAGTGAAAGCAGGGATGTAAAAATGCTTGTGAGAAGAATCTGCAGGAGAAGTCCCAGGTGTTCTCCTGTTCTCCCTGGCTTTTCTTCCAGAATTCTCTATTAATTAATCATAGGTAATGCAGAGCCAGTTGTTCATAACATGGCATGGGACAGGTGAAAGGTGTTCAAGGGAAAGATACTGAATATAAACTGATGAGTTAATGACAACACAGCTCTGTAATACTGTGGTGTGTCTTTAAAACCTCTCTTCATAATTTCTGTTGACTTTGACACCACTTCTGCTACATTGAAATAATTAAAAAAGAAGAGAAAGCTACCAGAAAGCAACTGAGAAAAGATGTAAAACTTGCTCTGAGTTGTGTATCATAGTATGATCTTTAGGGTTTTTTTAAGTCTGAGATGAGTGATGTTTCAGGGTTATTCTGAAAGTCCAAATGTTGTGCATGCTTAAGGAGTGGCTGATCCTTGAACAGGAGGCTGAGCAAGGCTCAGATGTGCTCCCTACTCACAGGTGTTTGTGTGCATGTAAATAGTAAATGACATCTGGTACATAAAAAGGAGTGAACCTAGAAAGCCACCACCTCAGGAAGTGGCAGATTAGTTACTCTGACTTTTACATCTGTTTGCCTGATAGTTTTTTAAATTGTGATCACAAACAAATTGTTTCTTAATATTGCATACTGTAGATTATATCTGTTTAATAATGTCATCATGATATGTTTTATTTTACTTTCTTTATTTGAAGCCGTAATATTGACTTGACGCTTCTCATTTAAACTAATTCTTAATAAATTCACTTGTAAGGTCTCAGTCTTCCTTGATATTTTCCAAGAGTATAAGAAAGGTAGGTTTACTTTATAATTCAGGAAAACATAACCCAAAAAACCATATTGTCCCTGTTTCAGTGCAGTCGACTAACACATGCTGCGTGCTCCTATGTTCGACAGGACGTTAAAATTAACACAGCAGCTTTCACTAGACAAACTTGAAAGGTTCTATCCTCTTAATCCTCGTGGCTGTGAGGCTGGCTGCTGTCAGTGCAGTGCTGTAGCCCCTGTGCTTAGCTGTGACACCGGGTAGCCGTGTGTGTGCTGCCAGGGTTGCATGCTCCCCCAGGCTGGCCAGGCTGTCCGTGCGTGTGCGCTTCGGCCCACCCCGCTTCCCTCAGCCATCCCCGCTCAGCACGGCAGCCTGGGCTGCTGGCCATGCCCTGCTGCTTCTGGTTGTCAACTACAGGCAAGGTGGACACTTGTTGCAGCAGCACTCGGAGTTTTTTGTACGGCGTCCATGGTGTTTTTAATGGAAGTAGCAGTTTCTCTCCATATCACTTTGTCTGCCTTTTTACCGTGGTTTCAGTTACAGAAATTCGTCTTTTTATTTAGAGGGACTTTTCCTTTAGTGCTTCATAACTGTCATACACTAAAGCATCTGTATGCTCCAGTGTGCTCTGTAAACTACATTCTAAAACTTCTAAACGCTCAGCCTTTTTCATAAACTAATTTGGTGATGTATTGCTGTCTTGCTTCAGTTCTTTGGACAGGTCTCTCAGTGTTCATGCTGTTTTATCTGTGCTAGGTGGCTGCCCTCCAGGATGAGAAAAACAGCTTGATGTCAGAAAATGAGATTATGAATGATAGACTAGAGCAATTAGATGACTCTCTTGATGATCCAAATACCATGGTTGCAAAAAAGTATTTTAGTGCACAGTTGCAGCTGGAACAATTGCAAGAAGAAAACTTCAGGTATGAAATTATTTTCCCCCAAAATCTCTCACTTGTCTAATGCACTCTGCAAATTTCTGGTACTCTTTGAGGCTTTTCCATCTCAATTTCTTTTGCATTAAAAGCTGTCTAGTGCTTTCTAAGCATATTTTAAAGGCAATCCTTACATTTAAAAAGAAAAAGAATCTGTTGTATACTTGTTATATAAAGTATCAGTTTATCGTTGCAATAGCCCTCTAATACTTAAAAAAAAGGAAAGAATGTGATGGAAGGCAAAAAAATGAGTGCTGATTTGTGTGTCAACAAATCAAAAGCTAAACTCCCCAACGCCACCATGTCTCTCTACTGAACTGATTTATTTCTTTCTTTGGTCTCTCTCTGTGATCCATATTGGGAAACAAAATCACTTTTCATGTGATTCCTTGATACTGATGTGATTAATTTGCAGTGTGCAATGCATTATGATTTAACAGGTAGACAACAAAATGTTCCATGTTTATTGTAACATTTTCCCTGCTACTTAAATCTGTAGTTTTCCTTGTATCTTGTTTCTTTTTAGTAATTCTAGTACTAAAGAAACTGTGCAATAGTGATGAGTTCCTAACAAAAGTACTGGTTTTGATCTGGTAGGCTTGAAGCTGCAAAAGATGATTATCGTGTCCATTGTGAAGATCTGGAAAAGCAATTGATTGAGCTGCAACATAGAAACAATGAACTGACCTCTCTGGCAGAAGAATCAAGAGCCTTGAAAGATGAAAATGACATTCTTAGGTATGTAGCAGAGAGAGCTTCACACACACACATTAGGACTTAATGGCTAAATCCAAGGATTTGTATTTAAGGATAGGATTTATTTGAGGTGTTATTTCTGCAGATCTTACCTGAATGAGCTCTTTGGCTAAGCAGAGGTGAAGTGCAGCCTTTCAGGGAGAGGCTCCATTGTGTGACAAGGATGACACATGGAATTTGTCTGTGGAGCAGAATTAATGACTACAGAACTCGAGCTTCTTTGTATGGGACAGAAAGTGGAAGTTCTCATGTACAAAAGCATATGTACAGCTAGAATTTTAACCTAACTTCTGGTGTCAGCATTCTAGGCCAGATTTAGGTTAGTGAGATCATTAGCAAAATGAAGATGAAACACACAGTAACTTCCATGAGAATATAATGTAACATTCCAGCTTGTGTAAACTGTATTAAATACCAGACCACCCAAGAAATATCCAAAATAAATTGTATTGTGAAAGCAGATCTGCTATTAATAAAATAATATGAATAAAACATGGAAAGAAAAGTGGTTTCAGGTGTTTAACTTAGTGGTTCTTAAATAACATCTGAAACAAATCCTAGCTGTAGATTTTTTCCATTATTTTCTTGTACCAGCTTCTGGCGAGAGATGAATGCAGATAATAAACACAAATATTAAAATTAATTTTAAAAGTATGGTCCCAATGTTTTCTTACCATGTAGATTTTTTTAGTGATCAGCTGACAGTTCTTGGGTGTATCTGCCAGTGATCATTCTCACAGAGCAGTTATGTTCTAATTCTGAATAATCCCCCAGGGAGATCATACCAGGTACCAGTATTTTGAGGAGACTGTGTAGCACAGGATGCTGTGGTGCCACAGAATTCCTCAGGGATATTTGACCCACTAACCCTTGCTCATATTTCTGGCATGTGACTGTCAGTCTCACTTGAAGGCTGGCTGATTTCAGTTTTTACAAGCAAGTTTGTGTCAATTATACATTTAAAAATAAAACGGTGAAACGTAACTGCTGCTAAGCGTGTCACATCTCTCTTTGAAAACAGTGTGTCAGCAGGGTTTGAGTTTTGTAACATTTCCTTGTGGTTGCTGTTGATACCTCCAGGGCCACTGCAGACAAGGCAAGCAAGCTGGAGTCGACAGTGGAAGTGTATCGGAAGAAGCTGCAGGACCTGAACGATTTCCGCAGGCAGGTCAAGTCCCTGCAGGAGACCAACATGATGTACATGCACAACACCGTCAGTCTGGAGGACGAGCTCAGGAAAGCCAACGCAGCACGGGCCCAGCTGGAAACCTACAAGAAACAGGTAGTGCTGCACTTGTGTTTGAAAGGCTCCTTTTTCCCCAGCTAGCCGGGAACACCTTAACAACCCTGCATTGTCCTTCTGGAATTTCTGAGTTGTGAAAACTCCTTCATACCCTGTGGTTCCCTTCTGGGCTTTTCCCTGTTTGTTAAACTTGCAAGCTTAACTGTAGTTGCCCTCTCAACTGATGTGAGTCCATAGTCTGCAGGCTTTTCTTCTTCACTCTGACTGAGGTAATTTGTGTGCCTGGGAGAGGTTGTCAGCTGTTACTGAGATCATTTGTATGGAATCACGGAGTGGTTTGGCTTGGAAGGTGACCTTGAAGATGATCTCATTCCACTGCCATGGGCAGAGACACCTTCCACTGTCCCAGATTGCTCCAAGCCCATCCAGCCTGAGCTTGAACACTTCCAGGGATGGGAGACCCACAACTTCCCTTTGAAATCTGTGCCAGGGTCCCACCACCCTCACAGAAAAGAATTTTTTCTTAATACCTGATCTAAACCTGTTCTCTTCCAATTTGAACCCATTCCCCCTGTCCTGTCACTATATTCTTATACTCTCATATTCTTACCATTCTTCATGAAAATTACAAGTTTTATTTTAATTTCAGTAGGAATTAAGAAAGAGTTAAATAAAAAAAAATCAATATAAACCCCCAAAACACAGAGGCCCCCATCCCATCTCTGCTGCCTTAAGCTTGAGGAACCAACTGTTTTATTTTGGCTGAATTGGGCAGGAAGGATTGTTTTAATGTAGCTTTTTAAAGTAGCCTCTTGCAATATTCCTGTGCTAAATAATGCTTTTATGAAAAGGTCCAGGAGCTTCATAACAAACTGTCTGAAGAATCCAAAAGAGCTGATAAGCTGGCATTTGAAATTAAGCGACTCGAAGAAAAATATGAAGCTTTAATGAAAGAAAAAGAGGTAAGTCCTTTTAAGAGTTTATTTGAGCACCTAAATCTCTCTCAGATCCTCTGCGTGAGGAGAACCTTCCTGGAAGTAAGGTCCATAAAAATGAAGCTTAGTGCCCTGTGTGTGTGCATTCACTTATAAAACAAAATATAGAATCATCGAATCATGAAGGTTGGGAAAGATCTCCAAGATCGTCAAGACCAGCCTAAAATGTGCATGTGTCATTATTACTTCTGATTAATGTTGTTCTGTGTTAAAAGTGGTGCAGCCTGACCTAATTCCATCTCAAATGTGTCTTGTTAGAGACTGATAGTGCAGTGTGATGCATTAAGAGAGACAAATGAGGAGCTCCGGTGTGCACAGATGCAGCAGGATCACCTGAGTCAAACAGGTACTGCTTTATCTTCAGAGACTCTTTTATTTGCTTTACAGGTTTCTTTAAGTGTGCTGAATTAAACCCCTCATGTGATTTCAGGTGAAAAAAGCCATGAGAATCTTGCTGCTGAAATTCTGCCAGTGGAATATAGGTGAGACCCAAAGGCTGAACTTGTTTGGGATGTTCATAGGTGGGGCATGAAAATGTCTCTGTGAAAGTTCAGTGTTTACATCAATGTGATTCTTTATCCCACACCTTGCTTTGCCACCACATAGTGTTAATAATTATTTCCCCATACTAAAATTACTTTGATTTTTTTCTTAAAACCATATCAGATTGCTGTGTATAAATCTGGGTTTGGAGTGACAATTTAAAATTCTGCTCATATATCCTAAAGTTTTCAAACATTTTAAGTTACCTTTTAATAACAAATTGCTTTGTTACCCCAATCACATTATTAAGTATGACTTGCCTGGCTCACTTTAATGTTGGGGGAGTGAACAGGACTACTTCTTAGTCACCTTCTTAATTAACAGTGACTTTTTTTTGTTTTTGCTTTAGGGAAATGTTCATTCGGCTGCAGCATGAAAATAAGATGCTTCTGCTGAAACAGGAGGGATCAGAAAATGAACGGATTGCTGAGCTCCAGGAAGAGCTGGAGCAGAAGCACCGGACAGTGAACGAGCTGGAAACTGAGAAAAGGTGATGGGGCAAACTGCACCTTCAAATACAGCAAAAATGATCTCTGGAGTTTTTAGGGTGACTTGTACATTACATCTGTAGTGCAGGAACCTTTTCTTTCACCAGAAATGAAGGATTATGAAGCAAGGAAGAAGGAAAGTGGTTTAAATGTGGTAGAGTTCTGTGTGTACCATACCCTGAAGGAAGTGCTGCTTACAGGACACTCTCCTTCAATCTGAATTATTCTTGGTAGACCAAGAATGGATGTGTCCTCTAATTCTAGAACTTCAGACTGTTAGACCGTGGATTTTCTATCAATGAATGATAAAAAATTTTACTAGAACAGGAAAACTTTTGATAGTTACGTTTTCTCAAAACTTAATGTGACAATAGGAATTTCATTATAAAATGTTCAGTAAAGCTCTGTGTGTTTGTTTCAGCAGAAGTTCCAGTCACACTAAAAGCATTTGAAATCAGTTTATTTGTGGCTTAAGTCATGCTGGGTAGACCCTATGAAAAACTAATGAAACAGAAAAATCTGTCTGTGAACTATTTATTTAGATGGGCAATAACTGAGTTTTCTTCCTAAAAGGCTCAATGAGGAGCGTATTGGAGGATTACAGCAGCAGATTGAAGATCTGCAAAAGACTTTACAGGAGCAGGGATCCAAGACTGAAGGAGTAAGTGAAACATTTTGCCAGTTTTGTTTAAAGTCCTCCAGCGTGTTATTTTTCAGTGTATCTGAGGAATACCTCCATATCAACTGCAGTTCAGTTGAAAAGCTCCTTGTGGTTCCTTCTATGGAACTGTAACCCTTCTACTTTACTTCCAAAGTCTCTGGTTTTATCATTCAATGGATTTATTTGCTTTGGCTTATTTAGTTGTGCTAAGTATTCTTGGCTGATTTGTAAGAGTCCTTGAATGTTGCATGGTATGAAATACTGAAATACAACTGAATTTTAACTCTCTCCTTTCACAGTCCAGCAACCTGAAGCAGAAATTGGCAGCACACATGTAAGTAAGGCACATGCATCCACAATAGTTTATTTATACTAAATAGAGCACAGGAGCTGCTTAAATCTTGGTAGAGATCTTGTTTTTCTAAGCCACTGATTTGAGAATTTGCATAGAGTTAAATATTGGTGTCATAGTTTTGTTTTGTTTACTCTGACCATGGTGATCTTGTAGTACCAGTACCACTTCACTGTCTCTTCATCACCACCAGCATTTTAACTGTTCTGATTCTATAACACACTGCTAAAACCATCACTCAAAGTGTATTCTACTCCTCTGAAATATTTCCAGTCCTTTCAGCAGATGTAATTCTTCCTAAGATGATGCTGGAGGGGCTTAATTGTTAATTTTCCTAGTTTTAACTAAAGGAGGATCAACTCAGAAGTGACAACTTTTATCTTTTATGATATTAATATTTCTATTCAAACCCTGAAGAAGTGCTAGAGCTTAAAATATTTATTTAAATACTTCTGTTGTGAAGTTTAAGCTTCCACCTGTTAAACCTGAAATTATTTGTGAGCTTAATCCTTAGCCCAACTTTTCATTCCCAGGGAAAAGTTGAACGAGGTTCATGATGAGTTACAGAAGAAGGAGGCTGATCTGGCAGAGCTCCAGCCTGATGACAGTCAGAACCGTGAGTTGTTTTGTGGTGTGGGGTTTTTTTTTTGTATTTTTTAAATAAGACTGTGTTAAGTTTCTTCTGAAATGATTCCCATAGCCACTGGATTATGGGATAGTTGTCTGGATGAGGCTTTCTGCTGCAGCTTAGCTTTTAGTCTGAACTGGGGGGTCTGGAGGGGTTTTGTGTGTGGTGGTGGGCAGGGAGAGGATCCTGGGGGGGATGAGGTTTGTTGAACAGTGCTCTGCAAAATGGGATTTCAGGGTCAGGTGGGACAGCTGAAACAAAAATAAGAATTTAAACCTTCTAAACTTAAACTTCTAGCTTCTACATTGCTCTCTGTTTGAGGGATGGTGAAATTAAAAGAACACAGAAGCCCTGAAAGTACCATGTCTGTTTTTATTTTGTGTGTCTTTGTTGATAATTTCTGTAAACAGCCCAGAAGATTGGAGAGCTGGAAGCAGCTTTACGAAAAAAAGATGAGGATATGAAAGCAATGGAAGAAAGATATAAAATGTACCTTGAAAAAGCAAGGAATGTGAGTGGCATGTTTCTGAGCATATGCATTCCTCCCTCATAAATTGTTAAACAGATTGAGTGTGTGTGTCCCCACCTCCCAATTAAAAGCAGTAGCTGAAAATTGCATTTTTAGTCAGATTGTTCAACTGCAGTCAATTAAGTCTGAGAGAATAAACAGGGTTTAGGCTGAGCATGAGGTGCAGTAAGGATTCCTTTGTACCTGTGGTCTCTTGTACACAATAACAGCCTGACCAGTGCCCAGCCTGTTCTCACATTCCTCCTCTGAGCAGGTGCAATGCAGAGCTGTTGAGAATCAAACTGACTTGCAATGCTCTTGTTTTGCCTTGTCCAGGTGATAAAAACCTTAGACCCCAAGCTAAATCCAGCATCAGCAGAAATTATGTTGCTCAGAAAACAGATACTGGAAAAAGACAAAAGAATTGAAGCACTAGAGGTAAAAATCTTACATATTTTTAAAAATAACTTTTAATATAATCTGTTTCTGATATTACTCATTCAAGATGTTGTTTCCTAGTAATTCAGTAAAATCTGCCTGGCTGAAATTCTGAAAGGATTGTTGACAATAGTCCAAACATCAGGAAAAAATGGGGAAATGCATTGAGTTTCACAGCAATATTGACAGGACAATTTGGAATAGTTTCCTGAGCAAATAGGAACTCCTCAGCGTGATGCAGTGGGCTGATAGGTCTGACTGTAAATGCTGTGGCCTCACATTTCTTTTATGTATGAGTACAAGGGAAGCATATTATATAATAGCAATTAGCCAGTCACTGGAGGTACATTCTTTTCAGGTGAAAAATTACTAAATTATTTATAGGTTTTCTGATACACAGCAGACCTCTTGTGCACTTCCCCACACAAACCCTCAGAGTACATTTCCAAATTCTGTTTGTGTTTCTAACTGTAGCTTGTGTAGTTTAGCCTCTTCTTAAAGCAGGCTGATATTTATCTCTGTTTTTTATGGAAGTATCTTTGTTTATACTTCTAGGCTTTGTAGTTGTTTGGTGTATTGAAGCATTTCTGCTGCCTGTGTTTATTTCACTCAGTGAACTGCAGCAAGTTTATGCAGATAAAATTTGTGGTTTAACTGAGATTTGTCCTTGCAGAATGAATACAAAATAGCCAAGCTACGTGACTATGAGGAAAAGCTGATTGTAACTGCATGGTACAACAAGGTGGGTCAAAAATCCACTTTTTGAAACATCTTTTGCTACACGTACCAGTTAAATCTTAGCTAACCTAAGAAACACAGCAGAAAAAATTCTGTGTGCATACTAAGAAAGCATGAGCAGGATGGGTAATTGTTTTCCTTCTGTTTTTGCTGTTGTTGAAGTTGTTGTTTAACTCTTGCAGAGCCTGAGCCTGCAGAAGCTGGGCATGGAGGCCAGGCTGGTGGGCAGCAGCGGCGGCTGCGGGGCCGGGCCCGGCCGCTCCTTCCTGGCGCAGCAGCGTCACGTCACCAACACCAGGAGGAACCTCACTGTTAAAGTACCAGGTGCAACTTCTGATTAAACACGAGGACATGAGGAAGACTCACATGCTAAAGTGTCCTTAAATGTTTTATACCTTTCCACTTTACCTACTTGATGAAAGAGGAGGTTGGAATGCTGGGCAGCTGCAAATGACAACATCAGAGCCTGTCAGGAAGGGATGAAGGTGATCAGCCAGAGGGTAGCATGTAGTTTTCCAAGTAGATTTAATAACTGCAGCATGTACAAGCACAACTTGAAAGATTTCTATTTGCCTTCAGATTATATTGTAAATATGAAATTTGGCACTATATATTTAAAACTTTATTTAAGTGGGTTTGGGCTAGAAAGTTGACTTTTATAATGGGAAGATGTTATGCAAAGGTGTACTTCAGGAAACTGGCAATATTGGGCATTTTTGCTGGGCTCTTCTGAAAACAGATCTAAAGGATTGGTAGCATCTTTTAAAAAAAGATTTTTTTAGAGTAGAAAGTACAATTTTAAAAGCAAGAAAGTACTTGCATTTATAGAAGAAAATAAAGGTGTGGTACCAGTTGTTATGTAACAGAAGACAGGATTTGTTTTATGAGAAGCAGAATTTCTCAGTTTATTTAAAAAACAAAGCAAAGGTTAAGTTGGTGCATATAGCACTGAGGAAAGCCTGTCTTTAAGATGTTGAATTCACTTAAGCCAAAAAAGCTTGTCTTTTCCTGGGTAAGAAAAAAGCTATTACAGTAACTCAAAAGTCTGGGCTATATTTTGAAAGTCTGGCATATTGGTATACTGCATTTATCTGCAGAAAGGGGATTAGGTGGGAAGGAGCCCCATTTATTTCAACCTATTTATACAAGCCTGTGCATGGAAATTGCATTTCCTCTTTTTTAAATGTAATTTCACTTGGCTATTCTGAACTAACTGTGCTAGGTGGAGGAGTGAGAGATGGCTGTGGCAGTTACTGGCAGCAGAGGTTGTTTGTTGGCAGGGAGCAAAGTGCATAAGCTGTAATAGTTTGATTGAAGATTAAATGGGGGTTGTTACCTGACATCTGTGTGCAGTAAGTTGCTGTCTTTCACAAAACTTGTGACTTTATTTCCCAAATGTCTAACTCTTGTTTTGAATTGTAATGTTAGGAAACCTGTTAATGTTTGTTCTTTGCAAATGGTCTAGAAAAAGTTCGTTATACCAATAGTTAAATAAAATAAAATTGCAGCAGCCCTTAAAATGAAATTAATACACTTAAATTAAGTATTTGAGGGTGCTGTACCAGACCCCCATCTCATATAAAATTCAGCTGCCTATGAGAATGAAAACACACCTGTCTTACCATTAAGGCCATTTTTTATTTGAGAACAGGGTTCAGCTATACAGAATTTTAAAGTTTTGAATTGTGACATTTGGATAGTGTGTCATTTTGCCTGCCCTTCACTATAGCTTGTCCTTTGATTTCTTCCTTCCCCCACATCTTAAATCTTTAATTGGGCATTGCATGTCATGCCAGAGAAAAGGCAAGCATTCATTTTTGATACAACTTACTTAGGGTTGCTTCTTAGTTGTGGTGGTTGTTTTCCAGTGCTGTATGTATGAATAGGCATTCAACAGATTTCCTCCTTCACAAGGCATTGTTTAAAAGCCAGGCTCGTGCTCAGTGTGGCATGAGCCAGATATGTGGCTGTTGGAGAGTGTCTGTGGTGGTGTTCTTCAGGACTCTATGCTTCTTTGGACTACCTCGTGGGTTTTGAGGTCTTTTATTGCTGCAGTGGTGTTAGTGGAGTTGGTGTTGTTAAGGTACAGTTGCATATTTAATTTGCCAATGCTGTGGGTGGGAGGGAGGTGGTGGTGAGCAGTGGAGCAGGAGATTAAGGCTTAGCAAGATGCTTCCATTCCTAAAGTCTGGTATTTGGTGTGTCCTAGTGCAACGTGGAGCTGTTGCTGGTGGTGTTGAGTGGGTCTCTTAACCCTCGTTCTTTGCAGCATGGAAACTTTCATGGATGTCCTTCAAATACTCATGTAGTTGGTAGGCTTGATTTGTTGTACTTCTCCCAGTAGTGGAGCTGTGTCAGTCGTCTGTCAGGTGCTGAATAGTGACAAACTTGGAGCAAAATGTCTTTGACTTAACACTTCTCAAAACTGCAGACCCTGGGACCAAAAATAACTAAGAACCTCCCTATCATTTAATTGGAAGTTTGTCTTCTGACTAGTGATGGAAGAATTTAAGTCCTGATCTACAGGCAGGGATCAGCCTTTTTCAGGGCACAGTTGTCCCCAGTAATCATGTCGGGGTTGCCAAAATGAATCTGGTTTTCAGGTATTGGATGAAATGTTGCTTATTTGGGGCTTTTCCAAACTGTTAGGAGTGAAGCCTGTGAATATCACTCAAGGGTTTCTTTGGGACTGAGAACCTGTTTAAAACAGCTTTTATACAACTAGTTAAACCTGGGTTCTGTCCTGTGAACGAGGAACTGATGTGTGGAAATAAATACTGGAGTATAAGCCATGGTGTTGTATTCACTTCAGCTCATCTGCTTGTGCAGGAAGGACCATTAGGTCAGGATCATTTTAGTGTTTGCTTCCCCCATGTCAAAGCAAAAAGCTGCTGAAAACACTGCTGTGTTACAGCTGAGCTGTGTCCAGCATGCAGCAGCAGAGCCCTGTCACTCCATGTCCTTTGATGCACCACAGCTGAGGCAGGAGGAACAGAGAGGCCCCTTGGCTCTCCTGAAAGGTGAATTTGTACCAGCACAGTTCATATGAGGTGAATATATGAGGTGAAAATAAATGAGGTGAAAAAATATGAGGTGTAACCACTGAACCCTGCTGAAGTTAAATGGCATTATTAGGAATTTAGCCAGTTTCCAGTAAAACGGGTAATGTAGATCCAAAGAAACAAAAACATATGTTCTGATTGACATATCATTTGTTAATTATTTTTTATATAAGATTAATTACTATGGAGGAGAAGTGTTTTATAGCAATAATACAAAATATGGGCTAGTAGGTTCTTTTACTCAAGATGGGTCAGGCAGCAGTTTTGAGAAGATTCTTTTGCAACAACCTTATTATATAGTGGTTTAAGAAATGTTCACTGAAAATAAATTTTCACCTGATTTTTTTGTTCATTAAAATATATATATATATGGGTATTCTATTTTCTATGATATACACTTACTTGGAAATAAGTAATATAAGCAATACTGATGTTCTATTTAGGTAGCCATAAATAGTTTAGAAATTAGAAAATGAAAACAATTGTTTAGGAGTTGGTAGTGTCTAGTACAATAATTTTCTTACTTGTTTCTTTTTCCCCTTCCCCTAAGTTAAGGTTTTCAGTGTATTGGTGTCTACATCTTCTGTTTAAAACAAATGTAAACACTGTGTTGCATAGAACTGGAAAAATTGCACTAATTTTTAAACTTTTGGTTTTATTTTTTTCTTTGGAAAAAATCCTTTTATATTCACATAAAGATTTTTAAAATGAATTCTTTGGTGTCTTTATTCCAAGCCATGTATTTATTGGTCCCTAGCTGGTGTTTCTGGGCAATGCACAAGCTGGTTCTGTATGTTGGTACATTTACACCACCTCAAATACCCTGTTCAGGACAGACAGGTATTGTAATGAGGGTATGGATGAGTTGTGCTGTTCTCCTCTGCTGTTTCCAGTTCTTTCATCCCACCCAAAGTTGGCTCCCTCTGCTCAGCCCAGACTGAGAGCTGGGCTAAGGGCCTTGTGAAGTGAAGGATTAAACCCCTCTGCAGATGGGCTGCAGAGTGACCTCAGTAATTATTGCTGCTGAGGAGGGTGAGGGTCTGGGCCTGTTCTCAGCCCCACCTGAGAGGACACAGAGCACAGGTACAGCTCTAAATCACTGTTCTTGCTTTTGTTGGGAAAACTGCCCCGTCCAGCCTGCTCTGCAGGTGACTTATGTGCTCCATCCTTAGTCCCATTGCCAGCTCTCATTCCCTGAGCACTACCCCCTGCCCAGAAGTGCTGTTGGTGGAGACTGGCAGCCTTCAGCCCTGTGGAGTGAAGATCTGAGGATGAGGAGCTGCATTGATTGCCCAGCGTGGAAGGGCCTGTCTCAGAGGGGGTGAAGCCATTATGGAAGAACTGGTTTTCCTGCTTGCTGAGGCTGGACATAAAAGCAGTTTCAGACACTGAAACCAAAGTGTGCAGGTGTGTGAGGGAGAAGGGAAGAGCTGCTCAGCTGTGCAGGAAGCCTGAGCTGAGCTGCAGGATGTGTTCAGTCCTGGCCCTGTTTGCATCCTCTGGCAGCTCCTGAAGAGCCAAGCACTGCAGCAGGAGCTCTGTGTGTTCAGGTGAGGGGTGTCCCTGGAAGAGGAACACAGGATTACAGCCCTGAGAGCAAAGGAAAGGAGGAGCTGAGGTCAGTCACGTGTGGGAGATAGTTTAGGTGGAGGGAGCAGAATATTCAAGAAGTCTGTGAAATGCATTCTTCTTTTGCAGTTTAACTGAGCAGAGGTCTATGGAGGAAACTTTTGGATAGAGCAGCAGTTTGGGAAAGGAAATGGGAATCTGAGCAAAGCACTGGGGGGAAAAAGTACCACAAAACAGTCAGATGACACCTGTGCACTGGAATTGTTTTGGGAGTTGCTCACACAGCAGAAACTTACCACTGTTCCCCAGTCAATTCCAGGCATGCGGCCCACTTGCAGCCTTCCCTTTCTCTCAGAGAATGAAAAGAAAGGAGATCAGGTCTAGAAAGTCAATTTACTTTCTTGTTTCTGCTGGAAACAGGAGGTGTGGGAGCCCATGCCAGCAGCAGGTTGGAGGGCAGCTAGCATGAGGAGAGCAGGGGTGTAGAGCTGGGGCTGACCAGGTTCTCCCTAGGAGAGAGATGAGAACCTGTTCTCATCCTAGGAGTGGGATGAGACAAATCAGCATTTAATAAATGGACTGGTTTGCGTCCCACCATGTGTCCTCATTTCTCCACCTTACTGGGTCTGTGAAACAGCCTCAATACCAGGAACAGTATCTCAGCCCAAACTCTTGTTTCCACTGGCACAGAAAATCAGAGGAGGTGGCAGAACCCCCACCCAGCCAGTGCTGAAGGAGCTGTGCCAGAAGCTGCGTTCACCTGGGAGGAATTTGCTTCCTCTAGGAAGAGGTGAGTCGTACTCCAGGGAAAATTGAAAAAAGGAGAAGATTGCTTTCTGCTCATTTCCTCAGCAGGAGAGCAGGAGCTGGAGGTGTGTGTTCCTGGTGCTGTGCTGATTTCCTGATTTCCCATCCTGCTCCTGGGAGCTGCAGCTTCTGCCTGGAGGTCTCAACAGGCTCCTTGGGGTGCAGCTGTTTCCCAGTTCAGTACCTTTACTGGTGTTAACCATTGGCTGCCAACCTTGGGACTGTTTCATTGTGTAGATGATGGTTCAAAATAGTAACTTGCTGCTGTTATTTCCCAAGGCACCCTTTTCCTCCTCAGACTGTTGAGTGCAGCTGAACTGGAGCTCACCCCACTGCCCTTGGACACACCAGCCACTCCGTGATGCTGGGCAGGTAAACAGAGGATTTTGCATATTGTAATTCTAGCTGTGCTGCCAGGATCATTTTTTCCATACTTCTGTAGGAGTTGCCTTTGCTTTTACAGTGCCAACCTCCTGCAGTGCAGGGACAGAGACACAGGGCATGGCCAAAGCCTACAGCCCCTGCTGGACACAGCCTGTGTTGGTCTTCACTTGGCAGAACACTTCATGACAAAAATGCTTTGATACAGATTTATTATGTATGAGACAAGTTTTAGAGAGTGACTGTTTTTTAGATAAGTATATATTAAGGAAATGTCAAATTAATTAATGTGTTAATGTTATAAAACAAAGGCTGGTATTGCTCTCCCACTGTACCCAGCCATAGTGGGAGGCTCCACAGTGCAGTCTCTAGTGTCCCTCATTTTGCCAAGGTGAACCATGGCCATCCATCACCAAATTAGGAAATCCCCAAGCCCCTCATTAATTTACAGTGCCATAGGGCAAGCCTAATAATGCCCTGGAAGCTCCTAGGCTGATCCCATGATCACACCATCATGGGATACAAAGTGCAAGGTCTAATTGTGAAAAGATTTTACAATTGCTTTGAAAGAAATAAACCACCTAGCCTCCCACTAGAGCTGTCAAGGGCTTGTTTTCAGCAGCCCTGACAAAGGATTCTCCATGTGAGGATGGTGGCCCAGGCTCCCCTAGCGAGGCACAGCACAGATCTTGTAGGGCTGTGGGGCCATTGCGATGCCCATCATGGGCTGGGGGCTGAGTGTGGTGCCTGGGGGTGCCTGGAAGGTGAATTTCTGGAGCAGGGAGGTGAAGAAGAGGAAGAGCTCGGAGCGGGCCAGCAGCTCTCCCAGGCAGGCACGCTTCCCTGTGGAGACAGAACCCACAGCATTCTCAGAGTGTGCTTTTGCTGCTGAAAGTGCTTCTGCCTGCCCTTAGGACTGTGGTCCAGCTGTGCTACCCCATTCCTGGGTGAGTTTTTCAATCCAAACCAAGCTTCCCAATAATACTTTGGCATTACAGCATGGTCTTCCCCCCAGATTGCATGACTTTACACACACACATGACCTGGATGTGCCCATGCTGGGACAGCTCACCTAAGAGAGCTACCAGAGATGTGTGGTGCTGGTATAAAAGCAGGTGCTAAAAGCAATTTCCCCATGGAAGCTGCTGGTGAGGGTTCCCCAGGGTTCCTGGGGCTGAGCTCACCAGGCCCCTGGCAAGCTCAGCATGTGGAAGCAGAGCAATGGCCTCAGTGAAGTTGTTCCTAAGTTCTCTGGAATTTACA